CAGTTAGTTGAAGATTATAATAAAGGAGAGGACAGCGGAGCGCAAAGGATTGGGGATTTGGGGAGTTTACCCTAGAATTGGGGAGCAAAAATCCCGCTCACCACCGGGGGGAAAGGTTAAGGGGGCCAGGTCCCCCGCGGGCACTCCCCCCCCAGAAATTTCTAAAGTAACCCCCCCCCCCGGGGGCGAAGGTCGACCATTTAGTTAAAGAGCAAGACAGAAGAGTGATAGCCTGCGTCGTAGACACTTTAAACCTTCCGTTTTGATGTGAGACGGGTGATTTCCGCCAATATTAACTTTCAAATTTTGTTATGCCATTCTCCTATGCTGTCATTCAGTTTTCTTAGGAATTCTTATATGCATGTTCGAATCCTATTATTTCCTTTCGAATTATGTTATTTACTTTTCTGATTTTATTATGCCATTATGCATTCTTTTATTCAGTTTCGAATTCTGTCATTCGCTTTCGAATTATGTTATGCAGTTGTCCAATTCTATAAAGTAATTCGATTGTACAGTCCTCTCATGCATTTTCGAATCCTATTATTTCCTTTCCAATTCTGTTATTCACTTTTCCAATTCTATTACGCCAATATCAATTCTGTTATTCAGTATCCAATTCTATTATTCGCTTTCGAATTATGTTCTTCCAAATCCGGGACTTTCATAGTTTATTTGGCCGACGGTGCCCTGGGGACTAGTAAAGAGTTTTCCCGCGATATAGCAAATCATAGCGGCCTTGGACGTCGACGTTTTACGGAATCGATTACAAGCATGCATAAATGCAATTCGACAGCAACTTCATTCACCAAATTTTGACTCGGATAGTTTTGATTCTGTATTCTTCGCGTGGAGAGTCCCTATAATACTGTTGCAAGGTTTGATGGATTGATAACAACATGGTGAGTTATATACGGCAAGTCCGAGATTGCTTGAGCTCTCATAGCCCAACTTCTTCTGCACGTGTTGCAGAAAAGCTTTTCACTGGTAATCGTGGTAGACCCAAATATGTAGTTCCACAAGAACAGGTTGAATTTCTAATAAAAAGACATTTTTCTGTGCCTGAGATTTCCAAACTTCTCGGGGTCAGCCACGAACTGTGGAAAGGCGGATGTCAGAATATGGATTAAGTATCTGGGGAAGTTATGATGGAATGAATGATAATGAGCTTGATGACATTGTCACTGGGAAACTGAAGGATCTTCCCAACGCTGGATATAAAAGAATGACAGGTCTTTTGCTCGAAAGAGGAATACAACTCCAGAAGAGTAGGATACGTTCTGCGATGCAACGAGTGAATCCCGAGGGTTGTCTTCTGAGGTCACTTGAGTTAAACGTTCTTCACCGCTGAAAGTACCAGGTATATATATGGACCCTTGGCCCTTTGGCATATAGATGGTAATCACAAGCTTAGAAAGTATGAACGATGAGTGATTTGCTGCTGGGCTAATGTTACTAGTGCCAAAACTGTGTTGCCCCACTGATGTAAGGTAATCCAAGACAGTCTTGGATTGTGGATTCCACGTTATGGATTCCGAATTGAGGACCCTGGATTCTGGATTCCTCGTCAGTGGAACTTGGATCCAGATTCCAATCGCTGGCAAGATTATGGATTCCTTGAGCTGAATTCTGGATTCCAAAGCCCATGATTCCGGATTGTACCAGCAAAAAATTTTCTAGATTCCAGATTCTAACCGGCCCCTGCCACCTGACCTTATCTCAGACCAAAACATGCTTTTTTCCACAGCAGTTTTCATACCTTACTTCTGAAACTTATACTCTATATGCCATTATCCCCCAAAAAAGTCTTGGAACAAAACGCTCTGATTCAATTGGAGTTGAAAGAATAAGTACGTTTTTACGCCCTCGTCGTTTCCTTGAAACCGTTTTTTTACAAAACGCGCACGGCTAAAAAACCATACCCTTTGGGATGGCAGATACCTATAGAGCGAAAATACCCACCCACTAACCCTTCTCGGAACGCTGCCAAAAACTTGGCCGGCAGAACCGAAGTTACTGGACTTAACTTGGTGTTGCGTTAGCCTGACAGCTTCCTTGGACGGTGAGGAGACTTCTCTCTTCCCTTTTCTCCCAACTGTGTCATAAAGTGCGGGAGTGCTCTTTCACGGCAGAACGGAGAAGTATATCTCCCATTCTTTTTCTTGAAGGCTTTAAACCCAAAATAGAATTTACATTTTGCTTACAGTTAATGGAGAAAAACTGCGCCAGCTACGCATCAAGTAAATCTCAGTTATATAAGGGCGGAATCAGAGGCATTGTTCTGTGAGAAGCTCTTGACCCAAGCGAATTTATCTTGTTGAATTCCTTCTCCCCTGGGGGAAATTGTCCACTTTGCTCACCCTGGTTTGCCCGAGTCCTACCCTTGGGAAAAGCCCACAACAAGTACATAAGGCTGAGTAAGGGGTAGAAACGTTGTGATCGATAAGAAAGAGACCAAGACAAATAACAATAACACTTCCTCTTGACTAAGAAAAGAAGCGTTAACATACTAAGTTCAGTTCTTTTATTCTAAAATTATCGCTTTTTTCCCCATTTTTAGGTACCTCTTACGATTACCCGTTCTCTTCTTAATAATTTAACAACAGATATTATCAACAATACTTTTAATTATCTTTAAAATATTTTAACTATTCTACCTCGTCCCCAGGGCGCTCAACACGCAGAGTAACGAGCGAAAGGTGTCGTGGGAAACTTGTATGCTCCAGACCCACAGCGCTAGAATAACGAGCGACGACTAGGGGCGGGTTAGACACACGTCTCTCTATTTACATTACAATCTATATAGCTATCGAAACTGGTAACAGCTATCAAAATGTAAATTCTCTTAATATAGCCAATAGGATAGAGAAGAAAAACGTATTGAGGTAAATGTCGACCCAGCACTTGTTGAGAATCAATGAATTTTAGCTAAAGCAGCATTTTAAAGTTTTCGCAGCATAAGCCATTGAGAATGTCAATACTACCACGCTCTGCCATTTTTACCTTTTAGCCCTCAATTCACCAGACTGCTTCCTTAAAGAAATGGTTGAGAGATTTTGAAAAAAGATCCAAACATATTCCCTCGGGTGATCAAGTTTTAAAATCTCATAACTTTTTCTCTGACTATATATTGGTACTGTAAGGAGAAAATTCATGTTGGTCACTCTTGTGACTTAAAATGGTAACGCTTTATCACTCCATTTATATGCTGCTTCGCTCAGCCTAAAAATCCCTCTCGCTACATTTAGAAGACCTTTGGGGATATCCTAAAAACAATGACGTCAGTTTAACGTACAACTGAAAGAAAAGAAGACTACGAAGGCGCGGTGGCCCAGCTGTTTTGATAGTGAAGAGCTGGAGAAAAAGGTGGAAGATTTCACTCGTAATGTAAAGAGGAAATAGCCGAACTATAGGCTAAAACCGTAGTTGAAATGGCTGTCGAAAAACAGGCAGAGGTCATGAAAAAGGGCACCTTACATAGATTGAGGTAAGCCAATATTTGGAATAAATAATAAAACAATTACTGGATTCAGCTTTTGCACGATAAGAAGAATGTTAACGATCTGCATAATTCTTCATATCATACTTAGTCTCATCCAAAAATTGCTCATTAGTATTGTTATTGTTGCTGTTATTATTACTATTATTGTTATTGCATAAATGGAGTCCAGTTTGGTCTCTAATAATCATATGAGCGTGACAAGAAAGGGGGAGTTATTATTACTATCATGCAAAAAAAAAGTCAAGTTCAACGCACTCTGTTCTTCGTTGTAATTTGCAACTTATAAAGATGAATTTTTTTAAGAGTCTTTACGACTCATTATCTTCTCTAGTAGAAAGAGTGACACAGAGTTTTACGAACTTCATAATAAATGGTTCTTTAAGGTTTTTTTCCGGTAATAACAAGTAATTAATGCACTTCATAGTACTGACCTCCCTGCGAGCAGAACTTCCTTTCGACGTCATTTTGATCGAGGAGGAGAAAAGGTGGCCCTTCCAAAATTGCGTCAAGCCTTTGAAGTCGACGCAGCTCCAATCTCGTCCCCAGAACCTGCGTTACCCGGGCATCGGACGCTCTAGAAGAATACAAAACCGGAGCCACAAAATGCTGCTTCCGCTTTAATTGCGCCTGCGTGAAGTTGTTTACCCTTTGGACCAAGAGAGGTTCCCAAGGGAATTTTGCCTTTCTCGCACATAGCTACAATTTAATAGTTGCAAAGTAGTTTTGTCAGTTAACGTGACCTTTGATCGATGTTTCTACTAAAGAAAGTAACTCGAAAGGACTGTTTAAGGAGACCGAAAAAACATTCGTTAGACATGACGGCACACATTACAAATGACATCGTAGCGTGGTTTCGTGACTTATCGAGATAAACTTTTTTTCTTAACGGTTTTAAGTCATCATATTGGTGTGTACACAAATGACTTGCCACGCGCAAGCTCTTTTGGTTTGCAAAATCGTTTGCAAGTGATGAATACGTTTTTATCGGCCAATCAGAGATGTTTTTTTTCGGATTCTACCAGAGGATAGTGATCCATGGTGCTGACCAAAAGGATCGCAGCCTTTGGAAACGAGATTGACGTATCCCGAACTTCTGGGACTTCGCGCCAATCAATGGTCGTGTACGAGCATCTGTTTATTGATAAACCGATGATCATAACTGAGCCCACTGTACCAAGAGCACGGCTATTAGGCCTGGATTCGAAAATGTATCCAAGCAACATGAAACGCACGCTCAACAAAGATCTTTCTCGATTCTCGATTCATGCAGTCTTTTTCGGATACTCTAAAATCGAGTAACTGAAAGAAAGAAAAGCTCTGCTGGCGGAGTGAGTACTGACTACATTATTACTGTTTCTTTCGTCCCCATCTTCAATCATAATAGAGAGCTTTACATTCAAAGACGAGGACGACTACGAGAACGAGATCTTCCTAATACTAAGCAGTGCGTGCGCGCTGACCAACGTTATTTTGGCGGGAAAATGTGGTAGCCGTCGTCAGTCTACTACGAGTTTTAGCGAGAATGTCATAGTGGCCGAAACAAGTTAACAAATGTTAGAAATGTTATCACTTAGCGATCGCGAAAGGGCTTAACCTCCTTCAACGGAAATAAGCGTGCTTACTTTTGTGGTGAAAAAAGTACAATGAAGCTTTCCAGGGTGTCTGTTTTTAGAGAATAGGCGAGAAAACTTAATATTAAATGTCGATCTCGTAGTAGTCCCCGTTCTCGAATCTAAAGCTCCCTAATGTCATTCTAACTTTTGAGTCTTCCCATCATGTGACCATTCAAATGAAATCTCTTTGGCAGCACTTCAGCTAGGTAACATTCCTTTCTCAGTATCAATTTGACAAATAACATTTGCAATTTTTTGAGTTAAGGATTTGACAATCCAGGAAGAACCAAATGTAAAGCTCCATCAATAGCACTACTACAAAGGAAACCTTCTGGATGGAAGTGTTCCTCTGTAGTCTCAAACGAATGTCCAGGCCTCCAGACCACTACAGAGAAAGTCTTCTTGCGAGGAGAGCTGCACATTGCTGTAAGTCGCGCACGGATGGCTTCTCCCGTGGTAGAGATCTTCGTCCAACCAAAGGCCGAAGTTTCCACTGAAATACGGGAATGAGTACAATCAAAACTGGACAAAAAAGTATTTAGTACCAGAGGCTAACCCAAACATCTCCGATTACATTACAGCTTTCATTACTAATCATTCTTAACTGGTTTTTACATTTACAGGCATGTTCTCTACAACCTTGAGCATTAGTTACTGAATACCCTAAATACAGACATGGTTGCCACAGACATCAGTTGTCAAAATTCCCTGACGTTTCTTATTAAAACGTGTAAGATTCCCTCGAGCTACTCGCTATTAACTTTTTAATTAGAATTTCTTTTTTTTTTTAAAATCATTTTGGCAAAACAATAAACTGAAACTGAATACATACATGTACAGCCTCGACAACGGAGACTTATAAGAAGAGCTTCGACTGTCTTAAATGCCTTGGACTTATCCAAGAAACGTCAGTAGTAGGATTTACTTTGCACCCATGAATTATGTAGGTCTTAGTGTGCCTCGTAGACAGTTGACAGTGCCCTATTTATTTTCGTAAGATCTTCAGGATTATCCGACCACTTACCGGTAAGGGCAGCCATCTTGGTTTCATATGTACCGAGGGGCGGAACTTACGGAAAATAGGGGACTGTGTCCCATGCAGGAATAAACAAAAATTCGCTTGAATAGATTCCACATTTGTAAGGTTTTGCTTTTACTGAGACTCACCCTCCGCTCCCAATAGCTAAGCTGTCTTTTGATCCCTTGATGAAAAAGTGGTTCTCTCCAGTCCAACCGAAAGTCTACAACAAACAGTAACAGCAAAAATCACATAAAACACGTTATAACAAAACTTGCAGGCAATCTTTATACAGCCAAGTCCTTGATCACAGGCTTGGTCAACAAACGTATATGTGAAAGACAACGTATTCTTTCAACGGATCAATTTAATGTTTATGGACCGTCAACTTTTAAGCCGAGTAATTGGTGAACTTACGCAAAAGGACGGCGGAGGAAAGAAGACGGCAAATCTTGCGTGACTAGCGTGACAACAGTCACGTCTGAAAGAATTTTCCGCCTAATTCCACCTCCTTTAAACAGATCGGTTTTGAAAAGTCCAGAACACGACAAAACTCGCAAGTAATAGCTCTGTCACGTTTGTCACACACAAACGTCTTGCCGTCATCTTCCCTCAGCTGTCCTGTTGTGCAAGCTTACTAAGCTCACCATTACTGGTTAATACATACCTTGACGTCATTCTTGTCAAACTTAAACAAGAACGACTCTCCTGTTCCATAGAATCCTTCACTGACTTTTAACGGGCAGGAGCACAGAGCACCAAAAGTCTGACGAGAATAAAATATAAAGTAGTTACTTTCACAGGTATTATACTAATGGCCATTCCATAAAAATCCAGACTATTCCTTCAAGAACACGTTTAGGGCCTGTTTACATGAAGGTGGGGGACCCCAGGAAGGTGAGGTAACATGTGGCGGGTTACCCCACCTAACATGTAAATGTGATCACATGAAAATGAGAGATTGTATGGACAGGCGGGTTACCCCACCTAAGCGGGTTACCTCACCTACCTGGGGCCCCCCACTTGCATGTAAACAGGCCCTCAGTCTCGTTAACAGGTGAATTTATGTTACTTTATGGCACAGCTTTACGTGTCATTTTAAAGCCTTTTTTCTCACTAGTTAACTCAAAAAAAGCGAAATATAAATCTTGCCTCATCGTGAATACAGGCCCAGATGCAAGCATAAGCACGGGAACAAGCACGAGAATCAAAATGTTTCCATGCTCTTGCGCTTACATCAGCGCATGTTTTCACCGGGTACAACACTCTAATGCGTCGCCGGTGGAAACCAGGGGTGTTTACCACTTACACAAACAACCCGGGAGGAAATCTTGGGCATAAACATAAAACTATAAAAATTTGACGTAATGGGAGAATGACCCGCTACAAAGTATATCCAAATCAGCTGAACAGACTAAAAAAAGCTGAAAAATTGCATCGCCTCAAATCACAGCCCATATTTTCTGAGGCTTTCTAAACGGAATAAGACGAACCATTTGATTTTACAAACGGAACTTCCGGTTTTCCCACGTAAATGGTTAAGTGCCCCTAGGCTTTAATTGTCTGTCCCCGATCTTAACCCCCCATCGGACAAGGAGGGTGGGCAAGAAGAGGCAGTAATACCTCCAACGGTATGAGAATCAGGTTAGCCTATATTGTTTGTACATCCTACTTAGGAACAGTTTGACTCATGGTTATTTGTCGTGTATCCCTTCGAATAGCAGGGCATTACAAGTCCTGGCCCCGGTTGTTCAAACGTAGGGGGGGGGGGGGGGGGGGTGCGCACCCCCTGCACCCTCCCCCTAGATCTGCCCCTGCATCCTTCCTGCCATGTTGCTCCTTACGCAGACTTTATGTGGTAACAATGACCTTCATCTAACCACGTTAAAATACTGTCAGCAAGGGCTGCTTTTCAAGTGACCATGAACAAGGACATAAACCTAATACAATAAGATTACAATGAGACGTAAGGGGCTCCGCTATGATCTAATTAGAGCTGAATCGAAGACGAAGATAAATCTATAACATTCAAGTCACATCAAGCATTATAAGTTCCGTAACGCAGCTCTGAGAGGTCGTCACGTAACGTTCCTTCCAGAGGAGCGTTGTGTGACGACCACATGAATCGTTTGGTACTCACTTGGTGTTCACCGTCGTTGACTACCAGGAGGATGGGTGAGTCGTAATACTCCATTTTTCTGTAAAGTGTCTTGAGTGAGAATCCATGCTGGAACGTGCTATAGACCAACACCCAACAGTGACCCACAGTTCTCGAGGGAAGGCTCCTGTTTAACTGAAGAACGCAAAAAAGTCCATTAACTCTTTTATTCCAAAGAGTGTCCAACAGCAACGTTCTAGAACCGTTCCGAATTGTACCTTGTTAAATACCGACAAGACATCACGGCGAAAAGCTTGACAAATTGTTAAAGAATCAATTTGAATTGTTTTATGAGCGTGTGAGACATGCAGACGCATCGATTTCGGTTGTCAACACCCCAATGTATAACAGAGATTGAGGGATGCAAATTGCACATTTTTGTCTCACTTGGGATTTTCAGGCTGGAAAGCAAAACATCTTTAACCCTTTAAGTTTCAAGAGTGACTAACATGTATTTCTCCTAACTATATCAATACATTATCAAGGAAAAAGGTTGGGAGAATTAACAAAATGATGAGCAAAGGAGAAATGCTTTGATTTTTGACCAAGTTCTCTCGACTAATTCTATAAGGCAATGTGTGGACACTAGTGTGGAGGATTTTGTATTTGGATATTGGGGCTTAAAGGGTTAACCAATAAAGTCAACTCTCTCCAATAAGGACACCTTGGGATCGGCACCAAGTGTCCCTCCAAGAGTGATGTCCGTCTTATAGAGAGTCAAATAACGGGAGTAAAGAAAGGCAGAGACCCCGGATCAATTTAGGTTTCTGAGAAACTACTCACCTACCCCTCCCCTAACTCAACGTTAACACTTAGGGCAAAATGTTGGGTTAGGGGAGGGGTAGGTGGGTAGTATCCCAGGAGCCGAAAATGATACGACCCCTACTCTAAGAGTCCGTTCTAGGAAGCGTCCGTCTTATTTAGGTGTCCGTTAAGAGAGAGCTGACTATACAGATATCGCTCGGAGTTGTTTTTAAAGAAACATGTAAAACAAAGTTAAAAACGCCATTATACTGTGCTGTAGACCGCATTCGAGCGGGGGGGGGGGGGGGGGGGGTGCGCACCCCCTGCACCCTCCCCCTAGATCCGCCCCTGCATCCTTCCCGCCATGTTGCTCCTTACGCAGACTTTATGTGGTAACAATGACCTTTATCTAACCACGTTAAAATACTGTCAGCAAGGGCTGCTTTTCAAGTGACCGTGAACAAGGACATAACCCTAATACAATAAGATTACAATGAGACGTAAGGAGCTCCTCTAAGATCTAATAAGAGCTGAATCGAAGTCAAAGATAAATCTATAACATTCAAGTCACATCAAGCATTATAAGTTCCGTAACGCAGCCCTGAGAGGTCGTCACGTAAAGTTCCTTCCCGAATAGCCTGCGTAGCAAGCGTTTCCAATCGAGTTATTGCGCAAAAGTTAGAGCGGAGGCAAAAAAAAGGTTGAAGGGGGAGGGGGAGGGGAGGGGTTCCTTCTTTCCTCTCCCCCTCCCCCGTCATTCATTTGTTTCGCTCTTATCCCAGCTTTCTAGACGAACTTCGCGAGGAAACGCTTGCTATGCAGGCTACTTCCCGAAGAGCGCTGTGTGACCACCAAATGAATCGTTTGGTACTCACTTGATGTTCACCGTCGTTGACTACCAAGAGGATAGGTGAGTCGTAATACTCCATTTTTCTGTAAAGTGTCTTGAGTGAGAATCCATGCTGAAACGTGCTATAGACCAACACCCAACAGTGACCCACAGTTCTCGAGGGAAGGCTCCTGTTTAACTGAAGAACGCAAAAACTTTTATTCCACAGAGTGTCCAACAGCAACGTTCTGGAACCGTTCCGAATTGTACCTTGTTAAATACCGACAAGACATCACGGCTAGAAAGCTTGACAAATTGTTACTAGAATAAATTTGAATTGTTTTATGCGCGTGAGACATGCAAACGCATCGATTTCCGTTGTCCACGCCCCAGGGGAGAGAAGAGACTCCCACACGATATATAACAGAGATTGAGGAATGCAAATTGCACATTTTTGTCTCACTTGGGATTTTCAGAGCGGAAGGCAAAATATCTTTAACCCTTTAAGTTTCAAGAGTGACCAACATGTATTTTCTCCTAACTATATCAATACAAATTATCAAGAGACAAGGTTGGGAGAATTAACAAAATGATGAACAAAGGAGAAATGCTTTGATTTTTGATCAAGTTCTCTCGACCAATTCTATAAGGCAATGTATGGACACTAGTGTGGAGAATTTGTATTTGGATATTGGGGCTTAAAGGGTAAACCAATAAAGTCAACTCTCTCCAATAAGGACACCTTGGGATCGGCACCAAGTGTCCCTCTAAGAGTGAAGTCCGTCTTCTAGAGAGTAGAGTAAAGAAAGGCAGAGACCCCGGATCAATTAAGGTTTCCGAGAAACTACCCACCTACCCCTCCCCTAACTCAACGTTTACAATTGTGTCTCCCTTATTGCAAAACGTTGGGTTAGGGGAGGGGTAGGTGGGTAGTTTCCCAGAAACCTACAATCCGACCCCTACTCTAAGAGTCCGTTCTAAGGAGGCGTCCGTCTTTAATATTTAAGTGTCCGTTACGAGAGAGCTGACTATACAGATATCGCTTGGAGCTGTTTGTAAAGAGACATGTAAAAGAAAGTTAAAAATGCAATTATACTATGCTGTAGGCCGCATTCGACGCCAACATCTATCGCGCAATTCAGAGTCTTTTAGCTGCCTGTTTTAATAAGGTCTCTTTAAGGGGCCTGGGGCCTGTTTCTCGAAAGCCCCGGTAACTTTTCGGGCCCGGAAAGCTGTTTTGTGTTTGCATTCAAGATCAAAGTTTTAATCATTTTGAAAATAATACAGTGAAACTATCAATTAACGAAGCAAAATTGACTGGTTTGTGGGCTAGGAACTGTGCAACTATTCAACAGGTTTTGATTTTAAAATTTGCCTTCGGGCCCGAAAAGTTTCCGGGTCTTTCTAGAAACAAGCCCCTGAAGCCTGAACCACGCCCAGAACACATGGTACTGTTTATTTAGTATGGGCGAGAGCGTCTTTAGTTTTCGGGTAGACAGTATTTTGAAATGGAGAGTTTATATCAAACTGAAAGTTTCCTGATTGCGTGCATTTCTTTGGTGCATAAGCCAGACAAGCCGTGATCGGGTCAATAGCCTTCGTGTACGAACTCACGAAAAGAACTCAGGAGATGCTGTTCGCCGAGTGGGCACAATAATACAAAGCATTTTTTGTGCCCAATCAGGAGACAGCATTCGCTTGACCGTTTGGAAATGGCGGTGAGAGTCGGTACCCAGGGGCTCTTCCGCCTGTGCTTGAAAACTTGACCGCCCCTGGGTCTCCGAGCAAACATAAGGAAATAAATTATAGAATAACTCACTTTCCTAATAGTTTCCACAGCATTTTTTTTTCTTATAATATAAAAAATTAATGAAATTAATAGGCACAAACTTGTTAGCGTGCTTACCTATTTTCGAAGTACTGATTACCTACGCAGTGAATACGTAGTGCCCACTAAGCGCGCGATAAGCTTAGAACTATAGCGCAAGAATGGTTACTCCCTGCCCTCAAGGTACTTCCCAATTCATGGTAACGAGAAGACAAATAAAAGGCTCGATAAAACAAGAATAAACGAGGATTATGGTCAATACTCTTTCCTCTCCTTTGTCCGCCATTTTGTATGTTTTGAAAATGACCATCGTCATGGTGATCATGTTATGGTTGGTGACGTAGATCATTGTTTTCGCTTCTTCCAAAACTGACATACTCCCGAACTGTGTAAATTGTTGTTTTGCTCATTTAACCTACAGCTTTTCCGGTGCTTTCGTTTCCGTCATCTTTGCAATATCTTACACTCCTTTTTAAAAACCGCCGGCTACGCAGACTTGTCTGTGAATGAAATCCTTTGGTGTTACAATCCAAATGAAACCTCTTTAAAATACATTTCCATGACAATTTTTTCTCGCCAGGATTTTACAAAACGAAAATTAAGTTTTTGTTTGAACATCGATTTAGGTGGCTGACAGCATTATAAAAGAATAAAATATTACTTACAGCGATCAATCGGTCCTCAGTAAGGATTTCTGACTTGGAATCCATGTCTGGTAACTGAAAGCCATCCTCCAGAAAATCCGGCTTGGGACTATCGACAACGAGAACGGTATGATTAAAAGAAAACAGCGAGCACATGATGACAGAGAGAGTCGGAGTTGGTACTATGTGTGTACACAGAACTTTGGATTAAACTGAAAAAACCCGATCTGAACCGTACATTGTTTGGGACAACACTGCCGCTCTATGAACTGTTAACCTTAGACGTGAAGTTTCTTGTACCATATATGTCAAGGAACCTTCAACCTGACCAGCGACTAACTCCTTATAAAAGGACCTGTGTCACGGATGTCTAGTTCATACTTGAGACTGTATTTGTTAAATTGAGCTCTCGATTACTTTTAGAAAAAAGAATTTTAACGCTATTAAAGTACTTTTATAGATATTTTATTTCATCTTTTTTACATTGTAAATAATCATTATGAATATTATCAAATGTAATCTTAAGCTTAAATAGAGTTTATAAATTAGTTGTCCCCGATTAGTAGGCTACGTGTAGCCGGCTAAAAGATTGATACATTAAAAAAGTTGTTTATTCATTCAATATTGCCTACAACGCCTCATTTTCCCCCTTGGAACTTGACCCTAACGAAGAATTTACTTGTAAAAGACAAGATCAAAGCTTCCTATCAAACAAATATCTCTCCCAAAGCTTTACACCAAACGTTGCAAACAACAAAAATGAACTTTGAAAAGCTGTTAGGCCAACAAGTTCATTCAAAGACCACAATTGCAATCCGTTTAAATCTTTTTCAGGACTGTGCATCCGTGGGCACCTCCTTTTGTATTTACACTACTATGCATACCCTCTTTAAATATCTTGAGCAGTTATTTTTCACTCGAATTGGTGGTAGATTCCACTGTTTGAATTTTGAGAAATTTCGTGACACAACGGACACAAGAATAAAGTACCTGATCATCACCAGGTAAAAAGCTCATGGTATTTCGGTGATTGTCATGGGTTGAGTACACGTGAGCTGGCTAACATCACGATCGATCGTTTAGTTACACTAACAAGAGTACCCAACGACGTTTCCTCCTAAATACATTGAAAACACTTTTTAGGCTAACCAGAGTACTTTTAGATCTCTAGAATTCCATTCTAAACGACGCTATAAAATTTGTATCGGCTATTCGGTTATCCTGTGGCAACTTGAGTCTTTTCGAAATTACAAGGCTTCAGTATTATTTTCCCGAAAATTTTAGATGCAATAATTTAAAGTTTTACGAAAGTAAGAATTTTTTTTATTCCTCTCTCCGTCGCATTTTCGAATCCGAAATTTTTAGGTTTCTTTTGTCTACGAAAAATAGCTTAACCTGGGCAGTGAAATGCGAAAAATTGAACTTTCGAAAATCTTCGGAAATTTATTAGATAAACTTCGAAAATAGTACAATGTACATGAATGGAACGGTCACGCATCTAGAAATTTTTTAGCCTTCCTCAAACCTTAGAAAATTCTAGGCAAATTTTGCTTCTCCCAACAAATATTTTACAGTCGGAGAAAACAATCATTCGGTGCCCCTGACACTAATCTTTTTTCCCTTTCCGGCTTTAGTTTCTTCCTTAGTAACTGCCAAAACGTTTTTCTACCTCACCATAGAGGGGCTGTGTCACAGCTGTTTACTTCATTTTGTTGATAATGGTAACAGGACTGAAGTGGAGTCCAATTCGGTCTGCAATCAATATGAGTGACTAACAAAATCGGACGACCGCCTAGCGAGAATCCGATTTGTTTATTCACGAGTATGATTACAGACCGAATCGGACGACACGAAGTCCTGTTACCATTATTTTACAACAAAAGTATTAATGAACTAAACAGCTGTAACATAATAACATGATTATCACCAAAGGAAAAAAGATTATTTCTCATCTCATTTTCAGTCTCTTTGCATTTTTCACGGGATCTGCATTAAGTCATTTGGAGCAACAAAATCAATCGACGGAATACTTCTCTTGTTTATTTTTTCTTTCAAAAGACCTTTTTGTACAATTTTGGTAAAATCCTGTAGCAATCTCACCGTAACATTCTTTTCATGATTTTGACAAGAGCTCAACTTTTCCATGACTTTATCCTAGATTTCACAAAACCAGATGAACGATTAAGTCAAAAACACTGAGAATTCCCCCTTACAGTATAATGCAGCGGAGTTGCGCATGACCAATCACCTGCTCTAACAATGACGTGTGACGATTGGCTAACAACGCCTGCTTGTGACAACAGGCTAATTAAAAAATGTCACCGAAGGTATTTTATGAAACATTGCTCGGATTTATAACTTGGAAGCATGCGCAGTTGGTTTCCTATTCGGATAACGGGTACTTTAATTCGGGGGCCAGACCAGCCAGCGCGATAAGCAAAGCCGCAAGCGGAAGGCAGATCCCCTCAAGCGCAGAGTCGCTAAATAAAAGTCAAGAAAAGACAAGGAGACTCTCCACGCGCCAGAAGGAAATTCGATTACGCGAAACACTCTGACGACTGTTGTAACCCTGACGACTGTTGTGACTGTGACAAGTGTTGTGTCTGTGACGAGTGTTGTGACTGTGACAAGTGTTGTGACTGTGATAAGTGTTGTGACTCTGACAAGTGTTGTGAGCTTGACGACTGTTGTAACACTGACGAGTGTTGTGACTCTGACAAGTGTTGTGACTGTGACGAGTGTTGTGATTATGACGAGTGTTGTTAGCCTGCGAAAACATCCGTTTCTCCTCGCTCGTTGCCGCTGGGGGCGTTTCGCGCAGAGGAACGTGTTAGTGGCTCTTATAAATTTTGAGTCTGTGGATGAAATCCTATCGTGTGACCATTCTGTTCTTCAATTGAAACCTCCTTAGCAGTACTTTTCAATGGTACTATTTATTTTCGTATGTAGTCCTACACGTAACTTTTGAGTCTGTGCATGAAATCCTATAATGTGACCATTAAAATGAGACCTCTCTAGTAAACCTTTCACGCGATACATTTGCTTTCTCATATTTTTAAAAATGAAATTTGAATTTCTTCTCGAATTTTGATGTAGCGTACCATTAGGAGTGAAGGGTTAAGAGATATACAGGTACATTAGAGAGGCGCAAATGTGGTTTTTCAGTTTCTAATCATGGACCACCATTTGTACTGTAGCAACTAGCAAGATAAACTAACCTTGCCATAACCTTGGCAGCTTTTCCAGGCTTGGCTGTCAATCCACGTGAACTTTTCTTGCCCCTGGGTGCGTCTCCCTCACTGAGAGCTTTGGTCAGCTGTGAGAAAGACAAAAATCAAAGGGATAAGTCATGGGGATTCTTCCATTTCGGCGTGGACTTTTCAAAGTTAAGTCAAATCCCGTTAATACAAAACTGAGGGAGCCATAAAAAGTGTCCTTACAGTCAAACGCCGCTTTACGGACACCCACTTAATTATGGNCCATTTGTACTGTAGCAACTAGCAAGATAAACTAACCTTGCCATAACCTTGGCAGCTTTTCCAGGCTTGGCTGTCAATCCACGTGAACTTTTCTTGCCCCTGGGTGCGTCTCCCTCACTGAGAGCTTTGGTCAGCTGTGAGAAAGACAAAAATCAAAGGGATAAGTCATGGGGATTCTTCCATTTCGGCGTGGACTTTTCAAAGTTTAGTCAAATCCCGTTAATACAAAACTGAGGGAGCCATAAAAAGTGTCCGTACAGTCAAACGCCGCTTTACGGACACCCACTTAATTATGGACACCTCTTTATTATGGACAGTTTGCTTTGTTCCATAGGAAAGAAAGCCCTTCCATTTTACATGATAGTGTTCTCAGATATAAAGACCTAGTATAACAGTATTTTTATTTCATTTCACCCTTTACTTTCAGACCTCCTCATAGCAAGAGTACTGTATGTCACCCGCATCGGGATTTGCAAAAAGGTCATGTCTGGAAGTCCAGACAAGTACAGTGAAACGCCATTAATACAGACACTGAGGGGGTCATTGAAAGTGTCCGTATTAACAGGGTTTCCGTATTAAGTGGGTTGAATTTAGAGAAAATGTAGGGGATTTCTTTCCCCAGGGGCAAAGAAAACTGTCCATGATAATGAGGTGTCTGCTTTCTTTCTTTCATTACCTTTGGATGTGAATGAACTGGAGGACTATTTGAATAAAATGTCTCCACTAAATCTAAACCCTACAAAAAGAAAAACGACATGATTAGAATCTGAAAAAACACGCGTCAGCCTCTTTGGTGCATTATAGCTTGAAAGGATAGGTGCAATACAGTCGAACCTCCATGTGTAACCACCTCTCGTAAGCAAACACCTCCTATAAGCAACCAACCATCCAAAACACCAAAAATTTCCCAGTTTAATCACTCAAGTTGGAACCTCTTGTAAGCAACAGTCACCACTTTTTTGGATGCTGGGATTAGAATTTTCCATGCTTTTTTTACACTCTTTCAAGCGACCACTTGGCTCATGGTTTGATCTGTATGTTTGCTGAATGTCCTACACTACTCAGGATATGCAAAGAACTTTTGGTGACACAACAAGAAACTAAACATAGCATGCTATTAATTCTCTTCCAAAATGTAGATGTGTTCAAAACGCTTCTTTAGTATGAACAGACCCTCTGAGGATCAATAATTCTCATAAGTGACCAGCTTCTGTAAGCGACCACTACATCTTCGCCCATCAGGTTGTCACTTACAGGAGTTTCCACTCTATTAATACACAAAAAAAGCAACTGGCTAATTCCAAGTACCAAAAAACCGTCACTTTAAAACGAGACTGATTCTGAAACCTTTTATACTAAAATGAAGTTTACTTGAGTGACAGAGAAAACTATTTATGTACTTTCATAACAATAGACTGTTCACAGCCCCCTATTTTTCTGTAAGATCATTGCGATTGAGCACCAACCCCTAAAGGGCGGCCATCTTGGTTTCACAATGCGCCAAGTCTAGCCAAAGGATGAGTCTTAAATCTACCTAGGGGGAGAGGATGGCTTGGGAGGAGACCTTCCTTGCCACACTGCTATAAACCCCTATGTCCAGCCTGAGGATGATTATCAAATCTACTAAAGGGGTACTGTGGGGGACAGTTTATCATAAGGCCTCCCTTCCTCCACCACTATCAACCCTGACATCCATCCCCTAGGTTCATTTGAAACCAAAACGGCCACACAGAATGGAAAGCAATCGATCTTGACGATCTTACGGAAAAATAAATGACCATGAGCAGGCTTATTACTCTATTAACCTCTTCCTCTGCCGTACAGTAGTGTGGATCTGTCATTTCATCATCTTCACTTTCATCATCATCCAGTGCATTATGTATGTTTGGACACCACTTTTGAAAGAATCTATACACTTGCTCTGTCCTGTGAATACAAGAAAAACTCTGATTACCCTAAAATACTACATGTAGCTGTTGCAAAAAAGAAAATAAAAATAAAAATAATTATAATAATAAAAATAAATACCCAAGAGAAGACTGAAAAAGGAGCAGTCTCCCCTCTATTTTTCTTGCCACGGTGCCCTATTTTTGGCCCACGCTCCACTACACGAGTGTGATGTGGAAAAGGATAAAACAAAAAATAATAATGCACGACAACTTTAGCCCCAAACCTAAATAAATATTAATTTTTTGTAGGAGAGAAATTGAATAGGAACACAGGATGTCACAAAAGTTTATGTTCCTGATTTCAACTACGTGGATAACTTTTGTTTAAACAATGTCCTACTCAAAGTTTTAACGTCTCATATATACTAGCATGTACGAGAACATGTACATGGTCGATATTAGAATCTTGGCCACATGTCTCAGCTTGTCGTTTTTTAATGACAAATTTATTAGCTGCCCAGGCACAAACCTGCACCTTTCCAAGTTTTTTTGGACCCTTTCTTATACATGTACATTGTTAGATCAAAGTCACCCCACAGCAACCACTTTTTAACCCAACTCTCACTTTTTTACTTTAAGTTCTAGACTAAAAAACATCCCAGAAGATCTAATTGTTGATAGTCCTTTATCAGTGCTGTCGCTAAAATTTCAAGTTGCCGGGTATATGCAATTAGTAGGAGGGGAATTGTACAGCTAGGAATTTCTTGGATCAATTTAGGTTTTTGAGAAACTGCCCACCTACCCCTCCCCTAAGTCAACAACAACACTTACTTCTCATTTAGGGCAAAATGTTCGCTTAGGGGAGGGGTAGGTGGGCAGTTTCCCAAAAACCTAAATCGATGCAAGTTCTCTTGGTTCTATTTTCCTTTGTTTCCTATAAGAGTAGCCAGGGCTCATTCTCATAGTAGCCTGGGAAAAACCCCGACCCCCCGCTCTTAGTGACAGCCCTGCCTTTCTAACTTGTGACTTCTACCTGTAAAAGGATTGACATTTGTTTTAAATTATCTGCCAAACACAGAGATTGTGTTAAGCAGACTCAATCAATCAATCAAGCTTTACTTACGACGGTATCACTTCATTAAAAATGCTCTTCCAGTGAGCCGCTTACATAACAAAATTTCAGAGAAACTTTACTAATGCTAAAATATGTCCATATATTAAGAAAATCTATCCTATAATTAATTACACAAAAATCAATCAACCTTAAAGGTACATTATATAACTAAAATAAATTCTATCTCAACTCCCTCAAGGTAATCCCTGGTTCAAGACAAAGACCGGGCAGACTTGAAAGAGTTGAGATTTATCTCGTCTTTAAGCACAATTTTCTAGGCCATTCCACATGACTGCCCCCCCTATAGCTAAAAGCCCACTTAGCAGCATCAGTACGGGGCCTTAGTACAAAAATGTTGTTCGAGGCACCTTGCATGTTGTAAGAATAAACCCCGGAGGTTGGTTTAAACAACGTTCTTTAAACTCTCAGGGTAAAGGTTATTTAGAGATTTAAAAACACTTATTGCGAGCTGTTTAGAGCGTCTTTGCTCAAGGGTATCCCATCTCAAGTCTTGGAGGATATCCAATATACTTACATACATATACTTACAACGATTATATGACTCGTTCACGTTTTAATTTGCATAAAACCTGTCATAAGTACCAATTTGCTATCACTTGGCAAGCTCCTATTATTTGGAATGATATTCCGTTAACTGTGCGCAATAATCTCACAGTAAGTAACTTTTAAAAAAACTTAAGACTGTATTTTTCTGAGTAGTTAATTAGCCTACGCATAATCTGTACACCTTATGGGACTATACTAGGTGTATTTGTTTATAGTTGTTTGTGTGGTTTATAGGAATTATTAGGAATAATAATAGGTTTATAGGAATTATTAGTTGTTTAAATATTTGAAATTAGTTGCCAAGTATTGTATTTTAGTTGTAAGTTTTTCTAACTGACCTTTTCTTTCTTGATCTAATTGTATTGTAATTATTTTAGTTAAAGCCTTCTTCTATTCTTGTAAATTCTTCACGTCTTTTTTTTTGCTGACCTCAGGCCATTTTAAGCCCCCGGCTTTGGCTGTTCTTGTGTATTTTTTCTTCCAGGAATTGATTAATTAAACGTAACGTAACATAACAACGTTTAGGCATAAACATGCATAAATGTTATACCCAAAAGATGGTAATGACACTAAAACTGACTGTGTACCAACCTTGATGGTGGAATAGCAAACCAATACTCTCTTCTTTTCATATCTCTATCACAAAGTTCCTCTCCAGGGTAGACTGGATGTCCTGTGGCACTGTGATGCCGACACCAGTGTTTTTTGCTAATCCTTAAGCAAAGATATAATGGCTGGTGGTGGACAGGTGTAGCAGGCTTTGGAACTATATGCACCTCCTCTTTATTAACTGAAAAAGGATGTTGCAGTGAAACCTCCTTTAAGCGGACACTAAGGTGGGGCCCAAAATTAATGTCTTATTTCCTTTTATAACAAACCCCTATTCAGCAGACACTTCCATTAAGCAGATGCTGACACTAAAATAAATTGTATCTGGCTAATTTCTATAATTGCTAAAAACCTATATTAAGCGGACACTGGACTGAATTGACAATAGTAGTATTGGATTACATCCTTGAAATACGAACTTTAGTCGATTAATGAAGTTAAATCAATACATTTAGCTGTCAATAAACTGTAGATTAGACTGATATCCATCCGTAAGATTGTCATCCACGATCAAAGTTCACCTAAAAGTCTTGCACAAAGTACAGCACAGCTTCCTTAGCATCCTTAACAACATGGAACTGTCTCACAGTACAGAGTAACCGTTGAATGTTAATCGTTACCAAACATTGTGCAACTTTTACAAACCTCTATTAACTAGAAACTCTAATACACAAGGGAGTGGTACCTATATCTACCAGTGTGTGTCTAAGATCAGGGAGTTCTAGCAGGCCTATGGCCACAAGGACCGAATGTTTCTCAAATTTTGTTAGTGTTAAATATCAATCTTGTCAATAATGTAGCGTATTAGTATTTATTATATAGATACTGATGAAATACCAGGATTTTTCCTTTTACTAAAAAATCATATCTTCATCGTGCACAGTGAAGATACTATTTTTATCTTTCACATGTGAGGATATTGGTGTCGCCATGGTTACTAACACAATTTTGACTTTTTGGAAAAGAAAATTTAAGTATTATTGCCTTTATTTCTCCTTTATAACTTTATATCCCAGTTTCATAACATTGTTGTGACAGGCATTTTGCAATAGGTGACCACTTTAATTGCAATATTTTGCTGTTTCGAAAATGAATTTAAAAAAAGTTGGGTTTTATGTAGAAATTTCATCAGTATCTATAAAATAAACAGAACATTACACAGCCACTTGGGGATACGAATTTTATCTTTGAGTGCTGAAAGTATTGCTGAAAGTATTGTTCGCTTCACTCATTCGTGAGAGATACTTTCAGCACTCGAAGATAAAATTCATCTCCCCATGTGGCCATGTAATATCCTCTATATATATCACAACTTGTAAGGTATCCTAAAAAGGGACAAAAGGGACAATAAACCAGTGATTTGATTTGTTTTAACCCTCTATTAAGCGGACACTTGGGAAGGTCTCGAGGGGGTCCGCATAATAGAGGTTTCACTGTATCTCTTAAGTGTGAGTTTAAATAAGTGCAATGAAATGCCATTGTTTAATGTGAAAAAGAAAAAGCAAAACTGATCTTACCAGTTTGATCATAACTCCCTTGTCCTAGCCAGTACTTGACATTACTGCTTAAAGCTGCAAACAATGACTCTGACGTAGACTCCTTAACATAAGCAACTTGACCTTGCTCATGGTCAACTCTTACATGTTCGCTTGACTGCTCAGAGGTCATTGAAACATTCAAACCACCGTGTCTTTGATCAACAAGCTCGGAGTCTTCATTTTTACCATCATCTGTATGACCCAAGGAACAACCAATTCCCGAGTCTTCTGACATTGGTGAAACAGAGTGAATATCCCTAACCCTAATACCGTCTTTCACAACCACTGAGGCTCCTTCGTGGCTATTTTCAAGTTCCGTTATCTTGTTTATAAGATTATCAAGAAGATCATGTACAATAACTTTAATGTCTTCAGTATTTTCCACAACTGTACTCCCTGACGCAACACAAGTGTATCTGTCCACAGTGTCAACCATGCTCTCCACCCTTTCTTTTACTTCATTTACATTTAAGAAGGGTGATGATTCTGGTGGCTTATTTTGATCTGTACAGAATTTAACAGAGTCGTCACACACAGTTGATTCTGATATTGTCTCAACATCTATGCTGTTTTGACGACTCAATGTCTCTGCCGCAGCAGCATCCAAGTAAAACCTAAAAATATTCAATGAAAACGAGACTTGGAATAAAGCACTCAAACCTACACATGTTAGGAAGTTAAACTCAGTCTTCTACAGTAACATCAAACATTAAAATGAAAAATTACTGCTGATGTATAGGCCAAATTTGTTTGAATTCCTATTGTTTAATTGAAAATCTATTTTTGTGTATTAATAATGTAAAGAATGCTCAATTGATTGTACAAACACATAAATGTTTGTCTTATCCATCCGAAGGTTGTCCAGGAATGCTATTGAATTGCAGTGTCATAAAAATGTTAATGAATAGAGTTTACACTTAAATGTTTTTCTGTTGTCCCTATTGACTTTCAAGATGGTGTTAATGACGGTGGTGTTGGCGTTAATGAAATTATATTTTTCTCTTTTGTATGCCGAATGACGCATATGAATGCCCAAAAATGCTATTGAATGTTGATTAAAATGCAAAAATCGTAAGTGAATCTGATTTATGCGCAAATGCTCGTATTTTCGTGCTAACAAATGTACATGTATCTTTGCACTATTGGTCGCCGTTTCACGCAAATAATTGTGTATTTTCTCGTAATGAACAGCAAAAGGTGTAATCACCTACTGTAAGAGAAAATGCTTTGACCTTCCACCAAATTCTCCCAACTTATTCTTTATGGAACTGTATAGAGACAAGTTAGGAGAATTTGTATCTGGATATTGGGGCTTAAAGGGTTAAACCATTTACATGCAGTTATGACTACATTGTACAAGAGTTATTGGAAAAGCACCAATGCCAATCACGTGAAAGCTACTGCAGGGCTCGAAAAAAGTCCCATCCAGTAGTCCAGGACAAGTAGATTTTTCTTAATGGGCGAGTAACTTTTAAAGCTCACAATTGAGCAGGGCCGGACGGAGAATTTTGCGATAGAGGGGGCCTGGAGACATAGTATACAGTGGCAATATCAGGACTGTGAATGGTGCACTTTTCTAGGGAGTTTTGGGTTCATGCTCCTCCAGGAAAATTTTTGAGATGAAGTTCTCTGAGATGCAGTCAAGTGCATTCTGGACACTTAAGTTTAGCAAATGCCTGGAATCCATATTGAACATGTAATGCTGAAATATTTAATAAAACCACACAAGGGGGGCCGGGACCACCTGGGCCCACCCCTAAATCCGCCCTTTTTGAGTGAGACAAGCAAGAAGTTGCCCCAGGCACCCAAAATGTGAGAGCGGCTTGCCCAAAAGACAAGCTAGAACTCAATTATTTCCGAGCCCTGCGACTGTACACTGTACATCCATAAGGCTTTGTTGGGCTCACCTTCCAGGTTTTAGAGGATCATGAATTGCCATAGCAGCTATATCTGTATACATTGCAGCACTTGTGACGGACGTCATTAGTGTGGCTATGCTGTATGTATCCTGTCCCCTGTCCATCACCAAAGGGTCCGACACATTGGGCTTGAACANGCCATAGCAGCTATATCTGTATACATTGCAGCACTTGTGACGGACGTCATTAGTGTGGCTATGCTGTATGTATCCTGTCCCCTGTCCATCACCAAAGGGTCCGACACATTGGGCTTGAACATGACAGAGTGTGGAGTAATCAATAGAACACCATTGGCAATGCCCTGAGAAAGACAGCAAAATAATAATAGTGTGGTAATGGCCTCCTTTGAAGAACCCTGGTACTCAACATCAGATATTCTAAAATTTTAAGACTAATTATCACATTCCTAGGATAATTATTTTTGTAGGTTAAACCCTTTCATAGGTTAATCCAGTATTCAACCTTGTAAGATCCAGAATTAATTTTCTTTGATGCCCTAATTATTCATAAGTGACAAAGGAAACCCTGGTTGTCGGCCACCAGTGCCTATTGGGGATCTTTGGCAACCATGACGACAGACACATGAAAAATGGTATTGGATAAAGTTTGAAAGAATGCAACCTTTCTTTAGGACCTTTTCAGTGCTGTCCAATAGTGTCCAATAGTGTCTAACGTCAATTTCCTCCTAACGGTACCCATACAATGTCAAGAGATTAGGTTATGAGAATTAATAAAATGATCACCTAAGGAAAAATGCCTTGATCTTTTATCAAATTCTCTCTCAACTTATTCTTGAAGGGAATGTATAGAGCTCAGTTTGGAGAATTTGTATGTGGATATTGGGGCTTAAAGGGTTAAGTTTTCTACTGAGTACACTGCATAATGATAATATTATTTTAAAATCACCTGGCCATCAGTTATGTATTTGGCATAAATCTTGAGATAATGTTCAGTAACTTCCTCTTCTTCTTCTTCCCATGACACATCCTTGGTTAGTTTAATTGTTTCGTGATCACCCTCATGTGCAGTACCATTCTCCTACAAAATTAATAAAATTGTAGTGTAACTGCAACTATGTACTCCTGGTAGTGGCTAAAGAAAATTTCTACCAAAATTCCAAAATATCTTTTTGCGAAATCCCACAAAATAAATGGCACCATGCAAAAATTCTGCCAAAAGGTTTCACTGATATGAATGGTAACACCACAGGATTTTGCCGACAGATTTCAGTGGCAGAGTAACAAAAAATAACCTTGCCATAATTAATTTGGTCTAAGAGTGAAAGCGGAAGAACACAGTCCAAATCTCCAAAATAGAGACATGGCGGCGGAGGGAACTAAGCTGAATGTCCACATTACTGAGTTGTATATCATCTGTACATGTAAATTATAGAGGGCAAGATTACAAGGTTACCAGTCACTTTGAGACCAAGAGAACTGTCCATTGTAATCACAAGGTATCTACACTGTATGTTGTAATTCACATACATGTATATCCTTTATTAATTTAAATTATATTTTCCTTTGTTTCAAACTAATTATTATACACGTACATTACCATACACCAAAACAAAGAAAAATAAAATTTATACCAAGTACGATATGTATAAAATTGAACTGCAACATCTATATTGCGTTGCTGTACATGTAAGGTCATTCATTTAGCAATAACAGGATTGCACCTAAACCTGAAAAAAATAGCCCTAGAAGTTTTTTCTTGATTGCAGACTCGATAGCAGATTGGTCTGATAAAAATTTAAGCTAATCAAGAAGGAATGTCGCTTATTTCTCGAGCTTCTTGTATACAACTTTATGAATCAAAATTTCTGTGATGACCCAAATAAAAGCTCTACCATATTTTACTGACTTCTTACATGTATGAAGTACCATTGAAGTCATGCTGTTTGTCGAACAGACTTCTCGCAAAATCAACTTCTTTGCCCAAAAACATTAGTGACGTTTCCTCTTTCTGAAGACTTTCGATCACGTGCTAGGCAACGAACTAGATCAAGTTTTACCAATGTTCATTTCTGAACATGCAAATAAATGGGACGCAAAACAGATGTTTGCAGATTTAGTTCTTTAATAACCTAATTATTGAAGCCTTAAGTTTTCTTCTCTAACTGTGTATTCCGTTTCCTGAACATTAGGCTTGAATACCTGTTTGAGGAGATTTAAGCTTGAATGTGGGCTCATTTTCCTGAACAGTGGCTGGTAATCAAGCCTTGAGTGAAAACCATTCGAAAGAAAGTTCAAAAGGAAGTCTAAACCATTCTTTTTCTGTTAAGGCTAGGTAAAAGATGTTAAGTTTATTGTATTTCATTAATTCTTAAATGTAATTTTTGGTGACCAGAATACTATGTCTTGTTCTGGCGACCAAAAATGAAGACTTGGGGACCAGCTGGCCCCAAGATTTTTTTTCTGAAAGTCGAGCACTGATCTGTAGCCCTTGAAAAGTGTAGAAAAGAATGTGATATTGTTAAAATTTTTCTGGTACAAGGTTTTTGTCCACTGAAAATTAAAATTACTCAATTTCTTGGTGGATTCTGTCTTAATTTTTTAAGGACCCTGAGTGATAGTCCAGCAAGGACTTGAACCCAGACCTGCAGCTCTTGAGTAGTTTGGACTATGAGAGCATGTTCCGTACCTTGACATTCAGTGGCTGCGGAGGTTTCGTAACCGGCTCTGATGAAGGATTTTCAGCTGGAATCCTTGTTTCTGTTTGATTTTCTGGAACAAACAGTGTCTGCCCAAAAAATAATTATAAATAGATTAATTAATAAATATAATTAGAAAACAATACAATGAAATATATCAGTGAAAGACTGAGAAAAATACATGTGTCTAAGCATTAAATAAAAAGCACTACTGCATTCTGTACATGTGTAAGCCAATCCTAGCTTTGACCCAAAACCCTAAATCTCCCATATCTAACACACGGTTAATGATGATGAAAAATACAATAAAAACATTGGGCCAAATATTTTAAATGAAGTCTAACTTAAGCCGCAGTTTAACGAATCTTTGAACCTACAGATCTCTTCTTTTGTGGGTTGTTTTAAGAAGATAAATGCTTTTCTGTCTTCTCTATAAGCTTTCATAAAACTGTTCACAATAAATGATGTTTAGATGAAATCATTGGGCAGATTGAAAATGACTTAGAACAAAGTTTTGTTTTGTTAAACACTGGCTAAACTGTGTTCAAATATTTGGCCCATTGCATTTTAAGGTGACCCCAAGCTTTGAACAAAGGTTCAAAACAAATGCAAGATGCAGAAGAAATTAAATTGTAGTATGTAAACAGAACAGCATCTTGGCCCAAGCACATGTTAAGGAAATTTTTCCGGTTGCTAAGCAAATCTGACAAGACCGAAAATTGGTCAAAACTTTGCCATGATTTGTTTGTATATTTTAGATGGAAGGGGATTTCTTTGTGAGTATTTTGAGTTTTACATGACGAAGGAAAATAATAAAGACTGTTAGAAGAGTTAAAGCCCTGAAAACTAGGCAACACGACTTGCTCAGCTTTGGTGAATATTCATATCCATTTTGACAATGTTAATAACAGATGGAGAAGTCTGCTATTAAAAAGCAAAGAATCTTGGCTATGACCCAAATACAGTGTACCCTTCCCTAGCTCAAAATTTAGAAAAACTTCAATGGCTTGAGGTTGTATAAAATCACTTAACTTACAGCTGATAAAATGAGATCCATCGCAAACAAGAAAAATTTTAAAAGCAGTGCAAAAACCTGAGGCACTAACAGTATTTAAATTACATAAGATTATGCATTATAAGGATAATAAAAATTATTATACAGTGAGCTTGGAGGTGTGAGTGGCAAGGCTCAGATTACAACTAAAAATGTAAAAGCTGAGAATGTGACTATTCATGAAAGAATCACTGCTTAATACAGAGAAGTGAGCTTTTGCCAGACTTACTATTGAATTTTCAAGTTTTTGTCTGGACAAATTCCAAAAAAAATTATTCCTTGAAAAAATTTGGCAGAGATGGCATGAGTGGTTAAATTGTTAATAAACAACTTAGTGAA